TTTCTGTCTTTTTGCCGTGCACTTTCTGTAACCGTGCACAAAAGTATCAAAAGATTTTTTAGTGCACGGAAAATAGCAAACCGTGCACAATTCCGGAAAAAACCGTGCACAAAAAACATTTTTCTCACTAAATGAAGTTTTTCAGCATGTTTATTTGTTTTATCTCAGGTACATTGACTTGAACGTTTTTTATTTCTTCTTTTGGTTCAATATCTTCGAAACGCTTATAATTTTGTGAATGAAGAAGTACATCCTGAAAAAGAAGATATAAATGATATATATATATATTTAAAAACCTTATATTCATAAGAAAAAATTTTTTTTTTCAAATAACAAAGTTAAAAAATGAAAAGAATGCGAATGAACAGATTTGTTTCATCAACCGACGTTTGAGCGCCCGACACTTGAGCGACCCCGACATTCGAGCGACCGACGTTTGAGCGACTCCGACATTAGACACTTTTCAATATAACTTTTTGTCGATCAGGAAAGTCGAATGATTATTCACTTCGATAACGATGATCAGAACAATTTTTTTGTCGTCCGATTATGAACTGAATTATTTGGAGATCTGTAGAGGGTGAGGCTGTGTAGGGTAAGGGTGAGTGGGTGTGAGGGTGAGGGTGAGGACTTGGTGCTGAACGGTCGTTATTACTCAAATGTCGGGGTCGCTCAAATGTCGGTCATTCAAGTGTCGGGATCGCTCAACTGTCGGTCACTCAAGTGTCGGGCGCTCAAACGTCGGTTAATCATTTGTTTGAATCATACTCTCACCTCATCATCATTATCATCATCACTTTGAGTACGTTCAATAGCTTGATTAATGATTGTTTTTTCTAAACGTAAGTCTCCAACTAATTCATCAAATTGAGGTTCATGTCTTGCTTTCATATGGATCATCCAATTTCTTCGACTTGTACCAAATAAATTCTCGACAATATGAACATTTATATTCGCCTTGCCCTAGTCAACAAAAGAAAATATATAAAATACTTTTTATTTGAGAAAAAAAAATCAATTGATTTCTTACCATTTGTTGCAATAGGATAACCTTGAAACAAGTAACGAATATGCGGCTGAATATTTATCATATTTTCAATATTATAAGATAATCTGAAGAAAAAACAGATGACACGTGGGTTACTATGCTAAAAATATTTTTCACAATTTTCCAAGATGTTGTTTGTTTATGAGCACAAATTCTCTTACTAAAATATTATGCCCTAGTCGAACATCTCGTAAGCAAGATCTTGATCAGGATACAAGGTATAGAAATGTGACAGATCTTGAAAATTTATGTACAAGATAATGTGTAATTATCTTGTACCAAGATCTTGACTAATATAACGCGGTCAAAATTATTTTGCTACTGTTTGGAACTAGATTGTGCCGAACTGTTAACGGTTTTCATTTAAGGATGCTCATGTGAACGACGCTTTCGAGCATTTTTTGAATTGACCATTAGTCCCTCACTTGATTCATTTTGTTTGTAGCAGAAATCTTACTTCAGATTCAAATTCAGCATCGAATTTTACGTCAAATAGACTGTTTTCAGAAGTACTTAGACTGATGCAAAAGTGATTTCGACTGATCATTTTGTACCATGGATATTTTATCCAAGATCTTAGAACTCTGTAGCCAAGATCTAGTTACAGATCTTGATATAATATTATCTTGTACCTAAATTTTCAAGATCTGTCACATTTCTGTACCTTGTATCTTGACCAAGATCTTAGGTACACGATAACAGATCTTGCTTACAACATGTTTTACTAGGGTGTAGACCATCTTAATAATACTTTCGCTCATGATGTCTAATTTTCCATAATAAAAAAATTCCTTTTTAAAAGGAAATGTAATGACATGTTGAATCAATTCAAACAATTTCTAATGACAGAATAATATACAGAAAGAAAAAATTATTTGAATGACATTCTTTAGTACGAACAACATCAATTGAGATCGAAATAAGTGATGAGATAAACTTGAACTTACATATAGATCGATAATACTCAAAGAAACGCAGAAAAAAGATCAATTAGATCATGCTGGAATGATATACAACCAGATTAAACATCAAAATTACGAAAGAAATCACAACAATAGTAAACAAATGGTTAAGTATGGATAACCAATTAACAAAATTAAATACTTCTTAAATTAAAGGAAGGCCTTTCGTTGAATTGGATATATACATATGTTCGTATTACTCATTCGTCCGTTTTCGTTAAAGAAAGAAAGAATCGAGTTGAAACAAAAGCAAGAAATCTTGTATTGTATTTAAGATACATTTCTGCGTACATTATTCTGTTACAATAGACTTCATTGTATTTGAAAACAAAAATTTTCTTTCTTATTTTATAAAACAGCATTTCTGTTTCGGCAACCGACTTATCATGGTGATTTATAAACTTCATATTCGACTTAATATTTCTTCACTTTTATATTTGACATCCGAAAAATCAAGTTAAGCATAGAACAATATTATATTATCTTTGAAAGTTTCTATTAATAATAAACTGTTCTGAATAATCAACTTATTTCTCTGAATCAGAGCTGGGCAAAATACTCGAAGTACTCGTACTCGAGTAGGATTTTGGTCGTACTCGTACTCATACTTGTACTCGAAGGGTTGGTACTCGTACTCGTACTCGAGGGTCCGATACTCGTACTCATACTTGTACTCGAGGTGGTCAGTAGGTGTCCAGAATAATTACCACAACCGTGGTGGAACACTTATATACGGACTTAATAAGAGTCGTATAAGGGG